GGCAGCCAAAAAGGCCGCTCGTGCTGCAAAAGGGAAGTCCAAAGGATCAAATTTGGATGATGATGGAAAATCAAAGGAATCGGCGATTTATGTGGAGAAGCTTGACAAATTTAGCAAAATCTAGGAAGATTTAAATGCAAACCGCATGAAGATATTAGAACTACAACATAAGTTATCAACCGAGAAGCTTGAAACCACAAGACTGGCACATCTTACAGCTAAGGAGACCACCAAGGCAAAAAGGCTTAAGAAGGAATCAAAGATGATACATGCTTACAACACTCTTATCTCTCAAGATACAAGTTCAATGTCCGATGAAGAAAAAGCTGAGCGTGTTGCTGCTATGAAGTGTTTTAGGAAGACTTTATTTCCTGAAATGATTTAGTCAGGTATGCACACATGCTGTTTCAGTTACATGTATGTTACTTGTCAGTTGCCTGCACCCATCCTTGATATATCTGTTTATTTCTACTAGCAGGGAAAAGGAGAAAGCCATAGTGAGATGTGCTAGAAATTCTACCGATAGCATGATAATTTTCAATCTTAGTGTTTCAGTCTTAGTTGTTCGATGGCATAATAATTTTCAGTCTTAGTTGTTTGATGGCATGATAATTTTCAGTCTTGTTTTAGTATTAGTGTTTCAGTCTTAGCTGTATGGACCATGTTGTATGGAACCTGCTGTGTGAACCTGTCAAATGTTTGCATGTCTCCCTGTGTGAATGTGCCAAACGTCTGATTTTTCAGTTGCCTACATGTCACGTTTTATCAGTTTCGTGCATGTCACTTGAATTTTTCAGTTTCCTACATGTCACTTGATTTTTTAGTTTCTTGCATGTCACTTGAATTTTCAGTTACTTGCATGTCACTTGATTTTTCAGTTACCTATCTGCATATATCCTATGTGAAACAGTCCACTGTCTGCATGTCTCCTTGTGAAACTGTCCACCGACTGCATATCTCCTGTATGAATCTCCATCCAGTCTTAGGTTACAGACTATAAAAAAGTGGCTTGGCTCCATTCAGTCGGCATAGGATCTGTAGTTGTTTTTATCAGTATTATGGAACCACATCCACCAAAACCACATCCACCAAACGATGATGAAGATGATCTACCAAAAGCCGATGACTTTGATCCTACAGAGGTGTTCACCATGGAAGATTTCCTAGCGGAGGATGAAATTGTAGAAGAATTTGTGAGGAAGATTGGAGATGGATTGAAGACTGACATTGAAGGAGGAACACCATCTGTGACTCGCCGCCGCCGACAAAGTGGACCAAGGAGGTACATACCAAGGAATCGAGAAGCAGGTCATGATGATCTTGTCGCTAATTACTTTTCTACAAATCCTATCTACACCGATGAGATGTTCCGTAGAAGGTTTCGGATAAATAAACCGTTATTCCTACGCATCGTGCAAACTCTTAGCAATTGGGATCCTTATTTTACCCAAAGAGTTGATGCAACTGGTAGGGATGGACATTCACCCCTTCAGAAGTGTACCACGGCAATCCGGATGCTAGCATACGGCTCGTCGGCCGACCAACTTGATGAGGTACTAAAAATTAAGGCAAGCACTTGTTTGGAGATTCTAGGAAAATTTGCCATAGGGGTGATTGAATGTTTTGGTCAAGAGTACCTGCGCCCTCCTACAAGCGATGAACTAGAAAAAATTTTACAAGAAAATGAGGCTCGTGGTTTTCCAGGAATGTCGGGAAGCATCGATTGTATGCATTGGGCATGGAAGAATTGTCCGAAAGGTTGGGCAGGCATGTTCACACGTGGTGACAAAGGTGTTCCTGCTATGATCCTTGAAGCAGTGGCATCTCATAATCCTCGTATATGGCATGCTTTTTTTGGTACCGCTGGATCTTAAAACGACATCAATGTCCTAAACAAGTCACCACTGTTCATCAATGTCCTAAAAGGGAAAGCTCCAAGGGTACAATACACCGTAAATGGAACACATTATGATATGGGCTACTATCTCGCCGATAAAATATATCCAGAATGAGCGGTCTTCGTGAAGACAATATCAGCCCCTCAAACGGATGAAGACAAATTGTTTGCATTGATGCAAGGAGTGAGGAAAGATGTCGAATGCGCATTTGACGTATTGCAATCTCGCTTTGATGTTGTTCATCGACCATCAAGGTTATGGAAGCAGGGAGACATTATCAACATAATGCAAGCTTGTGTTATCTTTCACAATATGATAGTGGTGGATGAGAAGGAATTGGTTAGAGTTTCCTTGGATTTGAATGAGAATGCAAGTGCGACAATAGTGCTCCCGCCTGAAGTGCATACAAGTGATAACCCCAATCCATGCTTCGCGGAGGTGCTTAGAAGGAATTTCACTATCCAAGCACGGCCAACACATAGACAACTTAGGGACGATCTCGTTGAGCATATATGGAAACGCTATGGAAACAAAGAAAATTAGACATAAATGTTTAAATCATATTTGATTTATGGGGAAGAAGATCGTATGTTATATTTGAGTTATGAAATATATTATATTACATTCTATATAATATAAATGATTTACTTTGAAGGATTTATTTTGTATCAATTAGCAACACAATGGTACACACAATGGTACATAGAAATGATACTCATGATTGATCATGGCTACATGCAAGCATTAAACGATTTGTAGATAGCCAAATAGACAGCAGCTGTCTGTGGGTTGTATGAGCTACCTGTTTAGCCGTCTATGTTGTAAATCCCAAAAACTTACTGACATCAGTTGTCTGTCTGTCGTACATGCCCTAGCCACAACGATAGAGCCGACTGCCAAACCAAACTAGCGGGGGCCTAAATATAAAAAGTAAAATAATCACTCCAGATTATTTCCCATCCTCCCGCACTTATTTTCCTGTACTCGGTTCAGCGGCCTATCTGTCCGAGGGGTGGGCCTACTCTGTTTTTTATTAACGACGAGTCAACTCTCAAGTAGGGGTCGATTCTTCTCTCTTCGTCATGTATCGACTTCTCTAGACTTCTGCAACGGTGATGAGTCTCTTTTGCCAATCCACGTTGGATCATGAGTCGGCCATTGGAGAAGCCCTAAGTTAAAGTTCACTGAGCTAAAAAAAAGCTATTCTACCTCTCCGAATTATCATCGCTATTACTAAGTTAAAATTCACTGAGCTAAAAAAAACTATTCTACCTCTCCAAACTATCATCGCTATTTGAATTTTCTTCTCAAACTCCATAACCACACATCTTACCCCTTAAACTCTCAAAATCGTTCACATTGTCTCCATGCACGGGTTTGGAGTGGTTTTGGAGGCGGTTTTGCTCTGTTTTAATAAAAAAATCATAAATATTTGATATATTTTTGAAACCACAGAAAATGTATCTAAAGTTTAAAAACATCAAGAGAAAATTTAGAGATAGATTGAGACACGACAAATCCAAATCTTATATTCTTATAAAGCAAAACTCCACTAGCTATTTATCTCAACATGCAAGCTATTCAACTAGGCAATACACTATCACATAGAATTAAAATATACTCAGCAAAACCCCACTAGCTATTTGTCTCAACATTGTAAAGAAAAACCCACTAGCTATTTATCTCAACATGCAAGCTGTTCAACTAGACAATACACTATCACATAGAATTAAAATTCACTCAGCAAAACCCCACTAGCTATTTATCTCAACATGCAAGCCGTTTAACTAGGCAATACACTATCACATACAATTAAAATTCACTAGCACATACAACCACAATGTCCACATCGGCAGGACACATAAGCATTTTGTTGTCTATGTCATCATACCACGCAATCTACTAATCTGTAATTCCCGCAGCAACACGCGGGATATGCTTTTAGTAAAATATTTAAATCACATGAAAAATCTCTAGATGCTTCAATATTTATTTAGCTAGAGAGAGAAAAACTATGGAGCAAAGTCTAAAAAATTCTGAAAACGTTCTAATTGATATATACTACCGAACACACGCGTAGCGGCATAGTGAAAACATGGCGTGATGTGTGAGTACTCCTGAGTAGTGTTCAAACAATAGAGCAGAGTTTCAAACAGTAAAACAAGGTTTAAACAGTAACGCAAAGGTTGACAAACAGTAGCTGAAACGTGCACAATGGTAGGAACAGTAATAAAAAGATGTAGACAAGCCTCGTTCGGCTTACCTTAAATCCGGCTTGTTCGGCTTTTATTTTTCAACCAGAACATTATTTTTCTCTCACAACAATTCAGCCAGAACAGTGTTTTCGACCACTTTCAACCAAATTTCAGCAAGCCGAACGGGACCTACGTAAACACTGCTTGCCTAACTGAACAATGCTTCACAGTGCTTTAAACAGTAGCAGGGGGTCTGAGAAGGGCGCAAAGCTTGCGCGGTTGAGGGATCTTATTATATAAACGTGTTTTGAAAACTTTCAACAATATAAAAAATAATGTGCAACCAGCATGAATACACTTGACATTAATGTTTGTTGCACTCATGCTAGTTGTATCTCATAATTTTAACATGCAAAGTTTTTAAAACATGTTTATACATTGATAAGAATGTTTTGGAAATTTTCTAACTTTTTATGGATATTGTTTTCTATTTCTCTATAACTAAATCTATATTTTAATGTAATCTAAATATTTTACTTTATTTGATTAGTCGTATCTCAATCTATCTCTATTTTTCCCCAAAGTTTTAAAAGCTTCCTTAGTATCGGCATTTGCACTTATACAACAAGTTGAGTCAAAATATGAGCTGTTGATTCACCTAAAATTTGCCATCTTCTTGTCATGGAAATGACACGAAAAATCTTTTCGTTGTTTCCTTATTTTCCCCGATGAAAGAAACTTACATATCATACAACTGGATAGGAACCCACCAAAACATTGGACATGCGTACTTTCCCAGTAGGAACTCGGAAAGCAAGAAGTTGCAGAGAAAATCGAAGTGTTAGCTCAAAGAACAAGAACTCCGATCCTGCTTGTGTCTTTCTGACTAAAAGTTTTGACCGTCGCCTTACACTGTCCAAGAGGCCGACCTCCTGAGCACCGGCTTGGTCGGCTTCTCCTCCTCCAGGGAGATCATGCCGAGGTGAGACGGGTCCTCCAGCATCATTTTGGCCACCAGGTACCCCGCGATGGACCACGTCTGGAACTTCCTCGCCTGCTTGCCGATGTAGCGACCCAGCTTGCCGTCGTAGTACTCTGGCCAGCCGTCCCTCGCGAGCCTCGCCTCGGCTAGGTCGATGGCGCGCCGAGCAATCTTCAGCCTCCCCGTCTTGATGCATGCCGCAGTGAGCAGCCACAGTAGCACTGCAGAAAAAGGTGAGGTGCTCAACCGGTCAAGTGGTTTGCGTTTCTGAAAACCATGGTGCAGAGGGACAACTGCCCGAACAGGCGATCCTGAAGTATAATTTACTGACCTGGCCAAGATCCCCCGTTGTGGTAGCTCCATCTTGTGTTCTTGGGGTCGCAGCCCGTGACGATCTGCCACTCGTGTCCCTCGATGGCCGGGTAGCATATCTTGACAGGCATCTCGCCGACGAGGTCCTCCCACCGCTCCTCGATGAGGTCCATGATGGCAGCAGCCTGGTCGGGCGTGGCGAGCGACGCGAGGATGGCGACGCAGTTGCCGAGCGCGAACCACCGGAAGTCCATCCGGGCGGGGCTGACGTTGCCGACGAAGTAGCCGCCGCGGGTGGGCATGAAGTCGAAGAGCCAGTCCGGGATGGACTCCGGGTTGACGTTGAACTTGTTGACGGCCGTGTGCGAGTACTCCTCCGTCTTGAACCGGTAGATGTCGTTGAGCTGCTGGAAGTCCAGCCAGAAGTAGCTCCGCATGTGGTAGCTCAGCGCCGCCAGCCGCGTCACGATCCGCTCCATCATCTCCTTCCCCTCCGCGTCCGGCTTCAGCATCAGCAGCGCGCACCGAAGCGCCATGAAGAACAGGGCCTGGATCTCGATCGGGTACCCGTACACACCCTGCATACGATTCAATCAATCGATCGATCGGTTTATTTAATTAACTGACGGATTTCTTGACGACGACATTGACACTCGGCTGCTCTGCTTGCTTACCATCCTGCGATCGATCATGCAGCATCCGTCCGCGCAGAGCAGGGTGGGGAAGGTGTCGAAGCCCTCGGCGAGGCACTGGTTCATGATGAGCCGGATGCCCTTCTGGCACATGGGCGTCTCGGCCAAAGCCATGTCGCCGGTGGACTTGGTGTAGGCCCTCAGGATGATGATCCACCAGAACCCGGAATCCACCGGCGCCACACGCCCGATGGCGCTCTCCCCGAAGTCGGCCACCAGCTTGTCGACGCCGCGCTTGGGGTCCTTGAGCACCTTGAAGCTCGCCGGCATGGCGCCCTCGCCGAGCTTGAAGCGGTCGATCCGCTTCTCCCACCCCTGCAGCAGCAGCGTCTTCAGCAGGAAGTTCCGCACGATTTCCGGCTCCCCGTTCATCAGGAACGCCAGCGCGCTCGGGACGAACTCCCTAACGAACACCTGCATGCGCGCACGCACCGCACTTCAAGTGAGCTACTCCATCCCGCATCAATCAAACGAATGAAGATTATACTTAGCGACACACAATATTTCCGGCCTTATTCTGCATAATACTATCAAATAATACTCCCTCCGGTCAGAAAACATATCATTTAGGATAGAGTTTTGTTAATTAAACCTTAAAAACTACAAACATCAATAAATTTTAGATCATTTAGTTTGTTCGCAAGCATATTACTTATATGTGTACATTTGTATTCAACTGTACCTATATAATCTCATAAATTTGATGAAATTAAGAGATATGAGTTCTACAAGAAATTAGTGGTCAAAGACTGTACAAAAATTAAACATGGCATGTAATTTTGATGAGAGGGAATATGTGCCAACTACTAGGTACGAAATATGTGTACACTACACTATACTACTCTTGGACTGGCCCCTTGCCCGTTCTTCCAAGTAACCATACAGTTTTGAAGTATCTATCTTGATCAGCATAATCCCCTTACTTTCCAGAAAGAATCTCGATCAAGATAGGAGTACTAACAGAATTCAACTACCTAAGAAGCAAAGCAACTAGGACGCACGACACAGAGCAAGAAAGTGTGTCCGAGCAAGGCAGCAGCATGCCGTTGTCGTGTTATACCATACTACCTGGTCGTAGTTGAGCACTTCGCCGGCGGCGGAGTGGTCTACGGCGGCGATGGTGCCGATCGGCTGGCCGCGGAAGGACACGATGGAGCGGCGCAGCGCGTCCCAGGCCTCGCCGATGAGCGGGTGGGGCTCGAACGAGAGCCGCGTGGACGAGGCCGGCGTGCCGCAGTAGGACCGCAGCCCGCCGCCGGGGAGTACATGCTCTCGTAGCTCTCCACCCTCCGCCGTAGTAGCCCCATCCGCCGCGGCTGGCCGTGCCCGCGCCGGCGAGCGACAGCTCGCTGAGGGAGCGGTCGTCGAACGACCGCTGCCTCTCCACGTTGATCCGCGGCTTGTGGTTCAGCAGCCGCGTCAGGTCGAAATCGTCCGGGTCCGCCAGCGACGCCTGCGACGATGCCTTGCGCATCGCCGCCGCCTCCATCTCTAACGCCGCCACCGTCCTCGTCTTCGCGCCCGGATACGTACGGTCCCCCGGGGCGGGCCCCACCCTGCCGTGCAGCGAGACGGCGGCGACGAGGAAGGTAACAGAAAGGAAACAGGAGGTCGGAGAGAGAGTCTGAGCTCGTATAGTACGGGCTCACCGGAGCTGGCCGCTGGGTTTGCGTTCCCGGCGAGCCGGAGTCGGTGCCGCGTCAAGCTGGAGAGTCTGGGCTCTGCTCCGGCGCGGGAAGGGGGGTCGCGGTTGGGCGGGTACATAAAGGGCGCGGTGCCCAGAGATGAAGTGTGGGGACGGGCAACGCGCGGGCCCACGTAGCAGGGACTGTTGATGGTCGGCGTCGGATTTTGTGGGTCCGGCTGAGGTGCGTCGTGGTGTACGATTGGGACTGGCTCGGCCCTCGGCTCGCTCGCCGTTTGCATGTGTCTGCTCGGGGGTGGTGGCCAACAGGTGGTTGCCTGGCTGTGGCCGGTTTGTTTAGCCTGTCTGAGAGGAGCCGGTGATGTTCATCAGTTCATCACACACAGGGATGCTGAATGGATTCCTATCCTTATGACATAGCGTGACACCGTGGAAGTGCCCGGCATTAGGAGTTTATTTATGGATTTCTATGAACATTTTACATTGATCCGAAGATGCATTAAATAGCTGAGGGTGTAGATTGCCTATCGGCGAGGCAATGACACCAAACAATCTTTTAAGTACTTGGAGAAACGGAGCAAGTTCTGTAACTGACATCTACTCCAACCTTGTAGTATCTTCGACTAACATGAGCGCTACTTCCATATATGTTTATGTAACGGCCCGGACATAAGTTTCTTTAACTTGTCAAACACATAGAACAACCGTGCATATCACTTTATTTCTTGGGAGCACTTTGACGGGGTTGACCTGACACAGTATGTAATTTCAACACCCTAGTCCCTAGTAGATTGATGAAAGAACACCCTGCATTCAGTTAAAAAAAAAAGAAAACTCGCGTTCAATGGCTTAGCCATCTACAACTAGTATATGAAAGTTATGAAAGGTGCGCAACCTGCCATGGTCCTTCAAGTTGCTGGATCAGTCAAAGAAAGTTTGGACCTACATAGAAGGACTCACTGTTTGCAGCCTCCTTAGTCGTAAATGGTTTTTATTCTGTGAGCTGCTTTGTCCTTGGGCTTTGCCCATCTAAAGATATGATTAGTTGTGGCCAGCTCGCGCAACCAGCGTGTCCACGTCGCCGGCTTTTCGTGGCCGTTCGATCGGCCGCGCGGACGGCCCAGATCAGGCGAGCCACGGTCATTTTTCGAAAAAACCCTTCTACTTTTCGGAAATCAACCCGCGATCCAGAGTCCCTCTCAGGATATTTTGCAAGAAACTCCTCAGATTTTTTTGAAATCAACCCGCAGTCCAGAACGGATGCCCTCCGGGCTTTTTGCAAAAAAAACCCTTACATTTTCCGAAAATCGACCCGTGCTCCACAAACCCTCTCACCATTTTTTGCGAAAACCTTCTCGGATTTTTCTCAAATCAACATACAGTCCAACTTTGATTATATCTTTTTTTCCAAAAAAAAAAATGTTTGGCCCGTGCACCGCGCGCATGGGCGCGCCCGAAAGACTAGTTCTATATACAGAACTCTTTTTCTTCTTAAGTGAATTGAAAGGCAAGCTCTTGTCATTACATTCAAACCAAAAAAAATATATTTCATAGTGGATTTAACAAAACTAATTAGATGTTGTAGTTTTTTTTTCTATAAATTTGATCAAAAATAGAGAATTTGATTTAGGACAAACGTAAAAACAAACTATATTTTGAAACTGAAGGCGTATGTCATATCTGTTAACTGAATAACCGAAGATATTTCCTAATGTCTTCTATGATAATATCAACGTGGCCACTGGCCAGAGTCATCAGCCCCCCATCAAATAATTTCCTCGTTTAATCATTCATCACATTCGAAGTGAGTAAATACGTGTCACGTCGCGTGGGTTCCCAGCTAACATTCTCCACGCAAGAGAAGATGAAACGGGTAACAAATGTATCATTGCTGAAAAGGAAGTAGAGTGAATCATTTTCATTCGTAAAAATCAATAAGCACGCAGAATTGTCATTGTGTGTGTTATTCGGTAATGCTATAGACCAGGCGTCCGGAACGGTTGGACGTACCGTTCCACAGACCGCTCTCCACAGACCGCTCTGTACTCGCACTTCACTTCCCCCCGCTCCGTCCGCTGCCTCCACTCGCACTCACTCCGCCCGCTTCCCCACACTCGATCTCTCCTGTGCCGCTCCTCCGCACGCTTTCCTGCCGGCTCTCCGGGCCGTCCCCGGGACGGGGACACCGCACGCCGCGCCCGCCCGTGCTCCCTTCCTCCCTCTGTCCCTCGCCATCCGCAACCTCCATGCATCCCCACTCTCCTTGCGACCCAGCCCCCGCACCCCCATCGGAGACGAGGACGACAGCAGCGGCTCCGACGAGGTAGCTCGCGGAGGGATCTGGATCTGAGGCCTGCTCCTCCTTCTCTGGATCTGAGCCCTCCTCCTCCTTCTCCTCTTTTGGATCTAAGGGATGCGGCGGTGGCTAGAGTTCCGACGAGCTCTCGTGGTCAGATCTCGCCGTGTTACACTGGTTTTTTTTATGTTGCAACAGATGATATCGAATGTTGCAATGGGATTTTTTTGGGTTGTTGCAACAGATATTTTTACGATGTTGCAGTACTACTGCTTGAGATGTTGCAGTACATTTTTTCGAATGTTGCATCATAATTTTTTGATGTTACAGTACACATTTTTTTTATGTTGCAGTATATGTTTTTTCGATGTTACAGTACATGTTTTATAATGTTGCAGTATACATTTTTTCGTTGTTGTAGTAGATATTTTTCATTGTTGCGTCAGATTTTTTTAGATTGCAGTGCATGTTTTTCAATGTTGCAGACTTGCAGTAGATATTTTTTTTCGATGTTGCAGTACATATTTTTCGTTTGTTGTAGTAGATATTTTTCATTGTTGTAGTAGATATTTTTTGATGTTGCAGTGTATGTTTATCAATGTTGCACTACATATTTTTTTCAATGTTGCAGTTAGGGAACGGGGCGCGTTGGGGGAGGGGGGACAGGAGCGCGTTGGGGAGCGGAGCCGTCTTCGGGGGTCTCGACACGGTGGGGGGGTGCTCCTGTGGGGGCGAGGCAAACGGATGGGGATGGGGATGAAGATGGCGATGGAGATGGGGACGAGATGTGGAGGCGCGACGTGTGGACGTGTCGGGCGTGCGCGGGGGCATCCCGATGGAAGCGGGCTCGGTTGCGGGCGATGGGGACGAGGTTGCTAGTTGTGGGCGGGGGGCATCCAGGAGCAGCAGCGCTAGCGTCCGACGCTAGCGTTCGGATTGGATGTCCGGACACTAGCAGTTCGCGTGTTTATTATTAGTCATCCCCTGTTATCAGGCACACGAAACAGGTCTAGGAGACTGGGATATGTCTGGAGCCTCAAGTTCGTGAGACGAAATCTCGGGGCAGAAGTATGTGTTTTGAGTCGTGATGTTCTGTAGTCTGTACGAAAGCTTGACATATTGGAGTAGGGCTTTACAATTTACAATACACAAGAACACAAAAAAACTGTCGTACTGTATATATACGGGTGTCCTGTCCTACCATATATAATCTGGTCTGGTAACTTGACCGTGAATTCTGAACACAATTGGAGGTCATCTCCTTTTGCAAATCGTTTGGTTGTCGTGGAGGTAATTATGGAAGCGAAAACAACGCTTGCCATGCTCTTCACGTTCCTGGGACGATGATACCTGCGAGTCAAGCTGTTGAGTCACAGTCGTCACGCTGTTTTATTCCTTGCCGCTGCTGCCTGATCATATCGATAAGCACTCAATCTACGCTATTTATGCCCAGGCAACAAAAATTTGAACTAACTATTTCTCGTGTCACTTTCGACGAGACACGTGGACTAGCGTAGCTATCCGCGCGCGAAATTAAACGTTCACCGAGGTACGAGAGTACGAGGCCCCAAGTCCGATCCGACCAACACCGAATCTTCTAGGTTAAAAAAAACACCGTATCTTCTGCTTCTGCCTCGGCAGCTCGACGGGCAGCCGCCTTGATTTTTTTTTATTTTTAATATTTTTATTCAATATTTTAATAATAATTGCTCCTTATTTTTTTTACGGATCTAACCCTTTTGGTCGCGCCAGTGGCGCCAGCGCGACCAAATAACGTTGTCACACCACATGCAATGGCACGACAACATCCACCATGTTAGACGGCGTTTCCGACGTAGAAAACGCTGTCACGCCACTCCGGCTGGCATGACAGTATTGTTCTGTCGCGCCCTTGGAAGTGGCGTGACAAGACAAAATCTTTGAAAAATTATAACTCTTTGTTACGACGTCGGATGAAGATGAAATTTATATAAAATTTGTAGCTCACGATGAGATCTACAACTTTGTAGTTTTGATTTTTTTTATTTAAAGACGTTAAGATGCTCAAAAAAATAATATAAAATTTTAGGAGCATAATAACCTATTAGTACTTGTCGTATTAGAAAAATAATATCGTTTCTGTATATTGTCAAATGAAGATACTTTTTCATGAAAGTAGTAGTTCTCAATGAGATCTACAACTTTATAGTTTAAGTTTTAACATTTTAAATCATTAAGATACTCAAAAAAATAATATAAAATTTCAGAAATATAATAACCACGTACTAGTACTTGTCGTATTAGAAAAATAATATCGTCTCTTTATGTTGTCAAATGAAGATACTTTTTACATAAAAGTTATAGCCCTCAGTAAGATCTACAACTTTGTAGTTTTGAGTTTTAACATTTGGAGTCGTTAAGATGCTTAAAAAATAATATAAAATTTTAGTAGCATAATAATCGCGTACTAGCACTCGTCGCATTAGAAAAATAATATCGTTTTTGTATCGTGTCAAATGAAGGTAATTTTTATATCAAAGTTGGAGCTCCCAATAAGATATATAACTTTTATTTAAAAAGTAGTTTTATGTGATATCAAATAAGAAATATATTATTTTTCTACAAAGATAAGTTTTGATACACGATAATATGCTGCTAAAACTTTATATTAGTTATTAGAATATGTTAACGACCTCAAATATGAAAACTCAAAACTATAAACTTGTAGATCTCATTAAAGGCTACAACTTTAATATAAAATGTATCTTCATTTGACATCATACAAAAAATATATTATTTTTTAAATATAGCAAGCGCTGGTACACGATTATTATAGTGCTGAAATTTTATATTAGTTTTTTAAGCATCTTAACGTCCTCAAATAAAAAAAAACTTAAAACTAAAAAGTTATAGATTTCGTGGAGATCTACAATTTTTATATAAAAATCATCTTCATCTGACGTCGTATTAAAGAGTTATGATTTTTCGAAAATTTAGTCTTGTCGTGTCGTTACTGTCCCACCACCGGGAGTGGCGTGTGAAGCTTTTCCACGTCGGAAACGCCATCCAACATGTCAGATGTTGCCACGCCACATGCGTTGGTGCGACAGCGGGACTTGCGCGACCAAAAGTGTCATATCTGAAAATATTTTTTAGAGGGGTTATTATTAAAATATTTATTAAAAATGATTAAAAAATAAAAAATCTCCCAGCCGCGACCGTGAGCGGACGCGGCGAGATGGGGGGTGGGGGGTGCGGGCGGGTATGTGGAGCTCTGGGAGCTGGAGAGCTGGTTGCTAGCTACCGGCCAGTCCTTTGCCCGCACCATGTGTGGGCGTGTGGCTGCTGGTTCGCTGCTAGCTGCAGGTCCGAGGCGGGGCGGACGTCGGCCTCCTCGCAAACGTCACGTACGACGGCGATCAGAATGATGCCCCCTTGGGGGCCTGTTCAACGTGGCCGTTTATCCGGCAACTGTTGCATGATTCGATGGAAGAGCATGATTAGTCAAGGCGGGTGTCACGGCCTTAAATTAGAAATTAGAATGATGCAAACCTCTGCGTCGCTCATGATTAACCGTGCTCGATGGTCAAAGGACCGTGCGCCTTCCAGAGTTCCAGTACCTTCGTCGCGACGACAATAGTACCCGGTTCGCAGCCACGACTCACTGGTCACAGCTAGCTCCTGCACAAGCTACTGTACGTACGACGGAGCATTGCCTGCTAGCCATGGAAGCCAGGACGCAGAACCTACAGTTGAGCCCAGCAGATTCGTCGACGGTGACCAAACTCTAGGCTCGTAACGTACAGAAGAGGTCGGTGACCAGGATGGCAGCGCGCCGGCCGAGGACTGCCGAGTGCCGACAGACCGTGGCCAGCACCAGCTGCCGTCCACGCCAACGGCCGCGCGCCTGTTGTCAAAAAAAAAAACGCGGGGATGGCGCAGGCATGTGCCAGTGCCATTGCTACAGATCGGTTCACCCGATCGGCGGCGCCCGCCCAGGCCCAGCTCGTGTGTGTTTGTGCTCAAGCGCGCGCAGGTGCTGTCTCGTTAGGCGTATTTATTTGCCTGGACGAGGACTCTACAGGCTACCATGTTTGTTTGCCTGGACGTGTTTTGGGCCTGGCCCGCATGCTGCTTAAAGCAGCTGGGAACCAGGCCCTGGAGAAATGCCCCTCCCCTTCGTTTCTCCAAAGCCCGGCTGGGAAGGGCGCACTCGAATGGTTATGGTGACCTTCGGTGCCCCTTTCTTCCTCACGGTGCGGGGCTGCGGGCGGTACAGAGCCCGGTCGCCGCGGCAAGGAGCGCCGCCGCCCTCGCAGCGCACGCCGACGAGCAGCGCCACCACCTTCTCCTCCTCTCCCTCCCCCGCCCGTGCGAGAAGAGGAGGCACGCATCGGCACCCAGGGAAAATCTCCCATCCTTCTCTCACCCACCGCCACCGGCACCTCCGCTGGGTCCGACAACTCCGAGGCTGCGCCCTGGTGGCAGACATGGCGTCCTCGGCGGCTGACCGCGCGCGGAGGCACCCCTCGACGGCCAGCACGACCCCGGCGCGGGGTCGCTGCGGAGCGCGAGCATGGCGGCGTCGTGGGCGCGCGCGGCGTCCTCCGCTGCGGCGAAGGTGGCGAGCCAGAGCCTGCAGCCGCCGCGGCCCGGCAACTGCGCGAGCGCGGTGCTCCTGCTCTCCATTGCCGCTCGCGCCAGCTCCACGCGTCCATGGCGGAGTCCTTCTCCAAGATCGGGCGCGGCGGCATGGACACGCCCGAGCACAACCGCGCCGCCACAGTAGCTCCATCGACGGGCTACGGCGCCCCTGCCCACCCCTGCGGTCTCCCTCTTGGTCTCTAGACACAACTCCCGCTCCCACCCCAGCTTGTGCCGCTCGCTCGGATCCTCGTCACCACCGCGCGCACTGTCACCTCCACCCTGCCGTTGGGCGCCCCTTGGGCTCGCCCCGCCGCGACGGAGGTGAGGGCGAGGGGGCGGCATCCCGCCGTGTCCTGTGGCTGTGGTTGCCATCGGAAGAGGTGTGGCCATGGCTGTCCATGGTGGAGGCGAGCTAGCGTGTCTCACCCGTTTGTAAAAATGTCTCAAAGAAAGAGAAGGGAAAGAGATGAGTGGTAACTATAGCAGATGTCAGAGCATCTCCCAGAATTCCCTAATTTTTTCTCCTAGAAATTTGTAGTTTGACAACTCCTAAAAAGATATTAGAAAGGAAAAAGATAGTAATCTCTAAGAGTTTTTAATAAATGTCGTCTAAAAAATCAAATATTGTACGGCGTGATGAAACCTTAAAGGCGGAAGCGGCACGAGAGAACGCGCAGATGTGGGTGGCTCGTGATCGTCATCGCAGAGGCCGGAGCCCTTGTCTTGGGCGCTGCGAACAACGGCTGCCAACACGTCGGGCACGTGGTGCAAGGGCAGCAAGCCCGGTGGTCGACGCAGCGGACGTGGAAGCCGTGGTTGCACTTAGGCAAAGACTCAGACGCGCGCTCCACAGGCTCCAGCTCACCAGCAGATGGCGCACACAGGCCGCCGCCGCCGCCATTTACTACACTGCAGCGCAGGTAGACCAGCGAGGCAGACCGGCGTCGGCATCGTCACAAGCGCCTTCCGCCGCGCCCGGCCGGTCTGAGCAGCGCCACGACAGCGGCAGCTCCCGCCCCATGGCAGTGCTGTGGCGGCGCGCAAGGGGTGACGTCCGGCTAGAGCACCGGAGCGCGCACCGCACGATGGAGTTGAGCCCGAGCGTAGATGAGCGCATGCGAGAGCACGCCCGATATCATGACCACGCGTTCGCGTCGGCATTCTTTGGTCTTCTTGCTGCCCCACCTCCGCGCTCGACACCGTCGCTCGTCGGGGCTTCTCGCTGCCCGGCCACCACCTAGCTTCGCCGCCGCATTCTCCCCGTAGCTGTGCAATGAGCCAAGCAGCGCCCTCCATGATACACGATTACTAGATGGCGCTGAAGCAGAGAGAAATCGCATGGGGCGGATGACAGCGATGGGAGCAGCGCGTAAAGTTACACGGAAGGGAGAGGAATTTTCCAAGTCCTAAAACATTAGGAGTAAATATTAGGAGTTGTTGGAGAGAGGTTTTTCTCCATCTTTCTAAAAAAACAAGGATTATGATGATGTTTAAGGAACTCTTAGAGATGCTCCTAGTCCTAGGTGACCACATACCACAGTACATGCAAACAAACACAATCCCTGTGTAGCCTGGCTCAGTAAGAAAAATGGACCAAACAAGATGTGGTTGCATCTGTTGGGCCTGCTCCGATGTAGCCTGGCTGAGCTGGTCCATGCAGGCTGCCTATGTCCAGCCAAACAAACACGCCGCACGGCGCCGGTTCGCGCACACACACTCGCTGTTTCTGCTACTGCCAGCAGCTTCCCGCGGCGCAGGGCACATCGGCGGCGCTGCCTCTGCCTGCTGGTCACCACGATACGAGTCTCTGAGGACTGAGGCCCTGGGCACGGCCGCATGGGACAAAACACGGCGGAATCATGCACCCACGATGGCGCCGGCGCCGCGCGATGCCCTTGCCACCGGGGCACAGGCACTGGAGATCGGTTTGCTCATACAGTGATCTGCATCCACTCATTCTTCTCAACGCGCGTATGAACATGGGTGGCATCTTCGACGCTGACCCTCGCTTGGATCAGGACCCCTGCCCGGACAGCCGGTCACGTCGGATTTAATCGCAGAGTACGGCGATGCAATGGCCAATTCGTCTAGCAGCGTGGAGGTTGGCCAGATGGATGGAGGAGCGCGACCGCCTACTGTGTAATTCAAAAAAAAAAAAAAAAAACTTCACGGAGATGAACCGCTGTGCTGAGAAGGACTAGGAAGGTTAGCTTCGCAGCCGTGGCGGAGCTAGAACGTTGCACGCACCGGGTTATTCATTCAATATATAGAAAAAAAGATTTGTGCACCGTGCACGCAATGCAAATATGCAATGTATAGGACCATTAGATCAAGTTGGCAAAAAAAAAAGGCGCACAATAACTATTGAGTCTGTCTATCCCACATCTAGTGTTATGCCCCAAACCAACACCCGTTTTTTTTTGGCAGGCACTGTTCACCTTCTAGCTCCTGCCGTGGGGCATTGTTCATCTTCTACCTCCAACCGGCTGTCGCAGCCCGCCGCTCTTACTACTGTTCATCTTCTTCCTCGGCACAATTCACAAATCGCAGATCACAAGTTACAAATCACAAATCACAAATCACAAGAAATTTTTTTTTCTATGGAAGGACAAGGACAAAATTTGGGGGAGAGGCTCGCTGGAACCGCCACCGCCGCCGTCTCCGGTCGGCACAGATCCGCCGCAACCCGTTGCTGCCGCCGCCGCCGGAGGGGAGGGAGGAAGGAGCCACGGGCAAGAGGGTCACCGAATCGGATGGCTCCACCGCGTCCCCGCCGCGGATCCGACAAACAGAAAACCGGGTGCCGATCTAACCAAAAACACATGGTGTAATATATCATTTCTGTAACTATTTTAGTTTACTTGGTGAAACTATTGAAGTTCATGGAAATCAACAAGTAGTTGAAAGAGAGTCATAGAAGTGAAGTCTTATCGTGCCACGTCAAGAATAATCCTGGATTCGCACTAATTAGGTAGTTTAGTTATATGGACAGAAAACCAATTCTGCTGCCTCTATCATTTGCCGTGTAGCAAAATACGCACGAGGCATCCTGAAAATACCATGAAAACAGATGGCTGAATAAGGGTTAGCAGAGACTAGATTAAACTGTCCCCAAGAGGAAACAAGTGTAACTTTAAAAGATATACATGCCCTTAAGTTTTCATCCAACCTTAACAAGATCCTCAATATCATATAGCAGCCACCATTCTGAAGGGATGGGTGTCGACTTAGTTTTTATGATGCACATAAAAAATAATTTATATTGCAGAATTACAATTTGTTGAGTATATTAACAATCATAGACACTTAACAATCTCGTCTATAGTAGTCTAGCTATTAAAATCCATAATTTAAATAAAATAATTACATTTATAATTTGGTTAGGGTCTAAATAAAATAATTGTTAAATGACTGGTTCCGTAGAAAAATAAGGATCGGTTCTCTCGCTATTTCTCCATGTAATGTTCCTGTTTCGCTGTAATTCTGGGTTGTGTTTAGATGATGCCCATTTTCATTACCAGATATATGTCTTAACAATTTGTTTGCCACACCTTAGACATGGTTTAGCAAAAAATTAGGTCAATGACAGACGGGTAGGAAGTGTGGCAAGCCATAGTTACAGTAGAATCAAAGAACAAAGTGAGAAAATTATGGCCCACTCAATCCACGAACCAAACATGCCCCTTGTAATTTTGCGATGGATCCGAAATGGTTCTTGGTGCCAAACACTTCTTAGAGCATGTTTGGTAGGTTCTACATTCTTTTGGAAACGTATGTGATTCAATTTCTTCTTATAAATGTCTCTAGATTGGAATCACTAACTCATATCGTCTTGCAAGCTGACATGATTTACTTTCTTAAAATAGATGAAAAAATCACCATTCCATATAAAAAATCATAAAAATCGATAGTGTTTTTAAAATGTTCTTCTTGGGTGAAGGACGATTCAATGGCGATTCATTTTAGACTGTCTCCAACAGCGTACCCAAACGCAAAAATGCATGGTGCGCAATGTTTTTGGGTACCAAAACACGCCTCCAGCCGAAGACCGAATCCAGATACCCATTTTGGGTACTCGGCGATTCGGTTGGCAAATCTGCGTCGCCGAAGAGAGACGACGCAAACAAAGCCGCGCGCTGCCACCTCCCCACCTTCCTCTCCCCTCCGCTTCCCCTTCCCCTTCCCCCACCTCGCATGGAGCCGAAGCAATCGGAGCAAGAAGACAGCGGCCGACTCCTCCCACTCCCAGGCAGCAATGGACGCCGCCGAGGCGAGGAGCAGCAGCAGCGCGTCTTCCTCCGCGGAGTTCGAGTTCTGGCCACTCCACCCCAACCCCGCCGCCTCGCCCTCCTGCGCCGACGAGATCTTCGCGCGGCGGGGTGCTCCTCCCGCTCCCCGTTCTCCCACCGAAGCCGGCGTCCAGGAAAAGCAATAGCGGCATCAGCCAAGGTGTGCTCGTCGCGGAACCGGAGCCGCAGCCGGAGCCGGAGCTAGGGGAGGCGTCCCTTCTTGCGACCGTCGCGCCGTCGGCTCGACTCGGCGACGGCGGATCCGCGGCGAAGCACGGCCGGCGGGGCGAGGCAGGCTCGAGGCGAGGAGCGCCCGGGAGCGGCGTGGCGTGGCGAGGCGGATTTGGGGAGGAGTGGAGTGTAGGAGGCGGTCCGCCGCGGGAGGAGTTGACGAAGGATAGAGCGCCGCCGGGCCCTGCTTGCGCCGGTGCGCCGCCACGCCGAGGGGCGCCCGCGCCCGGGCCCACCAGCGCCTCTACGCCACGGATTTTTTTTTTTGCGGGATTAGGAGCTCATCCGTTGGAGAGGTCAATAATGAGGTGTGTAGCTTTCTATACTGTGCGTTACCTAAACGGTGAAATGGGTATCTGATTTGGATTACGTCGTTGGAGTCCGTCTTACTAGTACAAAATCAGTAGAAACAGTCCCTATGTCTTTTCCAAGGAACACCGCATCTTGGGCTCTTGGCCCATAACCAACACCATCATCCAATAAAGCATGCTAGCCCACTAAGCTGTAGCTCACTGATTTTTTTTTTAAAGAATTGTACGTAGATCACTGATCTTGGAAGCCCAGCATGGAAAATCCACGAATAAAGATGCCAAGCCCGCCACGACCCTTGGGGACTAGCGGTAGCGGATAAGCCCCCGCGCCGGCGCCTGCACACTGACCACATCAGTTTCGCCATGGCCACCTCCACCACCGCGCTCCACCCGCGGTTCCGGCCGCCGCTGCGCGCTCCCCGCCATCTCCACCCGCTTCCACACTCATATTCCTCGCTCTCCCGCACTCGCGGCCACGCTCCCGTACGGGCCTCCGCGGCGTCCGCATCCGTGCCGGCCCAGCGGGAGGTCGCCGCGGGCGTCCCGTGGGGCTGCGAGATCGAGTCCTTGGAGAGCGCGGCGTCGCTGGAGCGGTGGCTCATCGACTCGGGCCTACCGGAGCAACGCTTGGCCATCCAACGCGTGGACATCGGCGAGCGCGGCCTCGTCGCCCTCAAGAACATACGCAAGGGGGAGAAGCTGCTCTTCGTGCCCCCTTCCCTCGTCATCACCGCCGATTCGGTAATAAGTCCTATCATCTCACTGACTGCAGAGGTGCTGTTTATCTTCTGTTAAGAAATGATGTTACAATTGGTATTCTACTGTGCTTTGTATATATTAGGAGTGGAGCCGCCCTGAGGTGGGTGATGTGATGAAGAGGAACTCCGTGCCGGACTGGCCGCTTATCGCTACTTACCTCATAAGTGAAGCCAGTTTAGAGGGCTCGTCGAGGTGGAGCAGCTACATAGCAGCGTTGCCGAGGCAGCCTTACTCGCTTTTGTACTGGTATGGCCGGGGATTGTAGTAGGCGCACCGCTGTATTGAGAATGGAGATAGGCTCATTAGATAGCATTCTCAATCTTGTACAGCCTTCATGTGTTATTGCAGGACTCGTGCAGAGCTAGAATCATACTTAGTGGCCTCACCAATCAGGAAACGTGCAATTCAGAGGATAACTGATGTGATTGGGACGTAAGATTGTCTACCAATACTTCTACTGATGTTTGTTTAGCAAATTAACCCCCCTAACTGCTGAAACTCACATTGGGATTGTGCTTTGTTCATTTTGGTAGATACAATGACCTTCGAGACCGTATATTTTCGAGGCATTCAGATTTGTTCCCTGAAGAGGTGTGTTTTGCCAACATTGCTACTGCTATACTCTTTGTGTACACATATGAATACAACAATGCTTATCCAGCTTCAATCCTTTGCACAGAGCATAGATTCAAAAAAGAAAAATCAAATCTTGAGGTTATATTATATCTGAATAACGATGAAGAATATACTAGTTTTTGAATTTGAGTATCAATATAATGTTGTGAGGAGTGGGTCACATGTTTGTAACTACATATTGTATTTTGATCACACTATGGATGTCGATTATGATACTTTATTACTAATTCATTTATAGTTTAACCTGATTAGTATGCCTCAATTTTTATTTTAGGTGTATAACATAGAGACATTTCTATGGTCCTTCGGGATTCTATTCTCACGCCTGGTAAGACTGGATCTAGTAAATATGATGTAAAGCTTATTTTACTTGTAGATCTCTAATGTCCCTTTTTATGATTAGTATGAATTCTTTTGCTTACTAGTTACTATTGCTGCCATTTTATGCTAACCAAGGATGTGCACTGGTCTATTCTGCAGGTTCGCTTGCCATCAATGGATGAAAAGGTGGCACTAGTTCCTTGGGCAGATATGCTTAACCATCGCCCTGAGGTACCACATTTTTTTTTACGAAGGACCATCCTCAACAGCGCTCAAATTTTGCTTAAGCATCCTTATCCCCAGATTTTCCATTTTACATTCTCATAAGTCTTCCTAACATTACAATGCTGCTGGAATTTACTTCTTGATGATTAATTGTTTCCAGGTGGAAACATTCTTGGATTTCGATAAGTCATCACAAGGAATAGTTTTCACCACTGACCGCGCATATCAACCAGGTGAGCAGGTAACAGTTTCATTTATTCCTTTAGCTCTATTCTCAGTTATCTATCAATTGAATTAATTAACAATACTAGTGTTGCAGTGCCGTTTTTGAAAGTCCAGTTGGCATGTTTATTTACTCATACTTTTGCTGAAATCTAATTATTGTTTCATTAGCACACTGGGCTTACTGTTCCCTAGCAATAGGCATTTTAAGGGGCCATTTGGATTCGAGGAACTTCAAAGGAAAAGCATAGGAATAAGAAACGGAGGAAATATAGTTCAGTGTGCATTGGAACAGAAGATACAACCATCCATTTCCTATTGAATATTGTAGCGAGGTGCAGTTGGCATCTACTGTCCCTGCACCTTGCCTGACCTGTCGGCCATCACCATTGTAGTGTTCCTATGCGGTGACGTGCCACCCTTTTTATGCAGTCCTGCAGCCGTCAAATGCTGTGCCTCCCGATCATGGTCCACCTGCTGCCACTTGAGGCAAGCTGCATTGTTTCTTAACAAGGATGATCATATCTGAACATCGGAGAGAGAAGTAGCAGGGTGGTAGATCCAAAGGAAGGAGATGAGAGTGACAGGATAAAAATGAGAGAGAACGATTGATTTATTACCTACTGCAACTGATTTTGGAACCCCACAGATTACGTGGTCAACATGTCAGTTGCTAAGAGATGCAAACTCAGCGTGTACTAGATGGGCTTTTCACATGAACAAAACCGGATCTGTTAATCATCCTTCTTTATTTGGTTCTGCAGTTACATGAAATTTGTTTGGTTTTGACCTGATTTCTTTTTGTATGTCCTAAGTCTGGGAGTAACTGGCGTTGTTTCGTCTGTTAAACTGCATGTTTTGATTTAACGTCTTCAGGTATTTATATCTTACGGGAAGAAATCCAGTGGTGAGCTATTGCTTTCATATGGTTTTGTTCCAAAAGAGGGAACAAACCCAAATGATTCGGTTGAATTGCTGGTGTCTCTTGATAAGTCTGATAAGTGCTATAAAGAGAAATTACAAGCACTGAAGCGAAACGGTTTGTCAGAGTAAGTGCTCATGATATTCATGAGGTGAAATTTTACCCTCTCCATGTGGAACTTCACAAGATAATATCATTTCTGTCAGTATAAAACATGTTTATCGAACTGTTTTTTCCTTCTCTATATTGTAATCATGCTAAATGACCATTTATTGGATTAGAACAGTCCTCAAACATCACTAATTTCTTATTGTCACTTTGACAGTATTCAGAATAGAATACAAAAATATAGTACTGAGAATAGATTACGAAAAGCATGATTGCATAGTGGATGTAAAGTGCATTTTATTGAGACGGAAACCAGTTCTTTTACCGGAATAAATAATTTGAGAGTTAAGTAGAAGTTGCCATAGCTTTGTACTTGATTCTTGCTTTATCATTCATGCCATCTAGTTTTCTTTGGGGAAACTGAACCTACCATCAGCTCAGCATCATGTACACCACTCTCTGTTTATTTGAATTCCATGTGATGATTTTACAATGTATATTTCTGATATTATCAGATTTGTATAGTTGTATTGACAAAAGTGGATCTGATCACCATTTACAGATCTGAAAGTTTCCCTTTGCGGGTCACAGGGTGGCCAGTTGAGCTGATGGCTTATGCCTTCCTTGTGGTCAGTCCACCTGACATGAGTCAACGCTTTGAGGAGGTTTGTGGCTGTTAGTTTGAACCTGACATGGTTTCAAATTGTCAACAGTGCTAGAGTTAGGAGGATATTCAAGATAATTTGAGCTTGTCACTTATTGGTAATAACATCTGCCAAATTATCCTTGCAGATGGCTGTTGCTGCATCTAATAAAAGTTCATCCAAACCTGCATTGAGTTATCCTGACCTGGAAGAACAGGCCCTTCAGTTTATCTTGGACTGCTGTGAACCTAACATAGAAAAATATACAAAGTACTTAGAGGTGATGTCCTTTCCATGGCATCTCTTGCACAGTATAACCTCTCATAAGATTTTAACAATCTGTTATCCTATTTTTTTTTTTATCCTGTCATCCTTTGATGAATGCTTTTGTACACAAATCACTGTGATCAGTTTTTAGTGTGAACCGATAACGTTTCAGGGTGGCGGTGGCTCTCCAGAAGTTTCAATGAATGCAAAGCAAGCCAACAGAACATTACTGCTAAAACAGCTAGCAAGAGATCTGTGCATCAGTGAACGGAGAATCCTGTATCGTACACAATATGTAAGTCAGTAAATCTTATTGATTTTGTATGTTCATCATGTTTCAATTCCTAACCTTTTACATCTCCAACTGTACCGCCCAGATATTGCGTAGAAGATTGAGGGACATGAGAGGTGGCGAACTTAGAGCTCTGTCATTGTTCAATGGGCTAAGAAAACTCTTTAAATAAATGGATCGGCTATCTTATCTTGGCAGATCTTACTGGATAGATTTGATTTCTCCAGTAGCATGGTAATTTACTCTCTTATTAGGTACGGAGTATTAATCACTTATAATTGCCGAATACTTGCATGTTTACTGGTTATTGCATGCTTCAATTTCAGGTGCTTTGACCTTGCCGCCGAAGCCTCGGATGCTTGTATGCCAAATCAGACTGCAGTCCAGGCTCTGGGCCGCAAATTTCATCCTTGGAGAAACATCTAGATGCTAGAAACAAGTAATTGTTCAATGAAGGATTGCAGCGCGTTGACATTGAATAACCCAGAGCTTATATATATGTAAGAGTAATTCTGTGTAATGTAGATTCAATTCAACCATGGCGACCTGCAACTGTTAAGAAAGTCGTCCACATGTTCACATCTGTAAATTCGCATACAGTATACTCAACCGCTACCGCAAGTCGTCGTCTTCTTCTCTTTTCTTTTTTTCCCCTCTAAATTATTCTGCATCAGCAAAAGCAGAATCCAAATTGAAGATGCAACTGAAGAGCCGTCAGTTTACTACTAATATGCATTTGTGATTGATAGTAGCAAACGAGAGGTTCGAATGAAATATAGCAACGCTCCAAGCTTGTCGTGTACACAGATACACAGTTAGAGCATTGCTTCAATCCCAAACAGCGTCCTTAAATACAACTCTTTCCATTCTAAATTATAAGACAAATTTGTTTTTTTAGATACATTACTTTTGTTATACACTTAAATATACATTATGTCTATATATATAGTAAAAAAGCCAAAATACCTTATAATTTAGAACAGTTGGAGTATCTTGATAAGAAATACAAGCCGAGAGCTTTCAAACGCTCCAAATGAGCATTACACAAACCACATTGCCACAAAACCCTGCACAACCCAATATATAGCGCAACGACCTACTATGGCGCATAACCAAACTCCGCAGTAGCAGGAAACACAACTCCAGATATATGTTTTATCATCAGGTACGGCCCCGCCCCGAAGCTGGTGGCGCGAGACCGTATTGGCCAGCGAGGCAACCTGAGTACATCACTTTTACATATACAACCACACCACGTACAGCTATAGTACCATCCATTCCACCACCTAAAGCTAGACCAGCAATTCACAAATTTTACACAAGAAGAGATCGAAATATGCTCCTAATCAGAAATCTTGGTGTTGAAGATAAAGATATTTGAGCTGATATTTTATGCTGTATTTGTGGCTGTCCACAGGCAGTCACCACTTGCAGCCAGCCAGAGTATAGTAGACTAAACTATTTGTTTGTTACTTGTTAGCTGTCCAGATTCATGGAACAACCTCCATATTAACAGTAGTAATAGAATTAGCTGTTGCCAGTACATCGTAGCAGCATGCACTGTAGCAGCAGATATTTTGGCTATAAAAGGAGGGGTACCTCCATATGTAAGAATTGTGTTTTGTTTTAGTTCAGTTCAGTTTCTTTGGAAACTACTGTTTGTGTTGTCTCTTGCGTCGGTTAGACCAACAGACCAACATATACTCAAAGGTCCATCTTAATATTTCACTACATACTTGCAATTTCAGATTGTTTGCACCTTGTTCTTGCTAGTTTTCTTCCATTTCTTACAGGAACAGACCCTAGTGGTCAGGTTAGCTTGGTTTTGGCTAGGCTGGTAACATCTTAACGGTTGTTTTGCTATTCTACTTTTGGTTTTCTTGTCAAAACTAAGTTAGTTATAGCCTGTGATTGAGTTGCACTTCTGAAAAAAAAACAAAAGTGGTAGCCTTGTTGCAGGCTTGCAGCTCTTTTCCATCCCTTGTTTTCTAAGCTTGTTAACCAGCTTTTAGTCTTCTATAGGGCCAGCAATGTTGACTAGGACTTTGAGCAGATTTTTAATTTAACATCTACTGATTTGATTTTGTCTAATCCTTGCTACATAAATAAACTTGCCCTAGCTATACTCTCTACTGGCCATTCAGGTAACATAAGCTTGCATTGGCTGAACTCAACCCTAAAGATCGTTGAGGCTGACCCAGCTACCAGTTGCACCACCTGCTGGTTTTGGTAAGAACCTGTAAGTACTTGGTAAGAGTTTGAGTGTGAGTGCATTTGAATTTCCACTTTCCATATCCTAGTCGTTGGTAGGCACATAAAATCTTATTGTATTGTGTAACATCCTCGGTGTTACACCCTAAATCATTTACTAAAATATGTCATGAATATCATGTTTATGTGTTAATGCATGTGATAGAATGTATAGATAAATTTCTTGTAACTTAAAATGATCAATAAAAATGTTAAATGAAAGTTGATCCAATGGTTCATGTATATCAAGTACGGTTTCAAACTAATTTTTATTGAACAAAAATGCAATAGAATATATGTGGCACTTAAATAAAGTTTGAATTACAAACTTTGTAGATGACAGTGAAATAATTACTGTCGAAAAATGATATTACTAGCTAATATTTCTACTAGCCTCGAAATTGCAAATTGAAATCAAGTTCAACTCAAAACTTAGAAAAAATTTCAAGTTTGTCAACAGCTAGACATTGCTATGTTTAACAAATTATTTTGAGAGATTTGGTTAAAGGGTGGTGTGGTGTTATAGCTCGATTTGGTAGTCTCATATGCCATCTTGAGCATGGTAAAGATGGTTTAGGTCCAGAAGCAACCATTTAGTTTTTATAGGCGCTTTAAAATTCCTGCACGGCACGTTCTCGGCCTGGCTCGCCGGGTGGACGCGGTCACCAGGCTCGGGCGCTCGACGTCACCGCGCTGGTCACACGTGCGCGTGTTGCCACGCGTGGCTGGCCGTGGCTGCCTCTGGCCTGGCTACGGCCCGGCCACCACTGGCCCTGCCGCGGGGAGCCGCTGCTACTGCCGCTAGCACCGCCGTGCGAAGCCGCTGCCGCTGCCGCTGTCGCCTGTCCCGCCCCACGCTACAACAGAGCCGCTGCCGGCGCCATCACCTCACCGTCGCGTTCGCACTGCTGCCCTGCCTCGTGTTGCCGCTACTAACGCCAGAGCGACGCTATGCTGCGCTGTCGCTCGCCTTGTCCTCGCACGCACGTGGGCTGTCCCGTCTGACTCACGCCGTTGCCTCGCCTTAATGGCGCTGCGGCCGCGCATGCCGCATCCCCACCTGCCTCCGCGCGCGCACGTGGTCTAGCCGCGTTGTCGCGTAGCGGGTGCGCAGACACCGTCTCGGGTCCGGCCGTCCGCTTGCCGCCAAGGCGAGGTCGAGCCGAGCCAGACTTGCCCCTCCCTCTCTGCCACCGCGACCGACCGACCCCGCTCGCTTAATTCGGCACGGTTGAGTCACCATCTCTTGATTCATCACGTCCCTGGATTCTCCGTTAAGCCACCTGACCCCCGACCCCCACCCAACCTTGAAGCGACCACGGCCAAGCTCCAATTTGGAGTTTTCCCACCGCCGTGCCGATAAGGCTACGCCCGGCTGTGGATGTGGGCAGCCCTCCTATCGACCATCACAAACCAATTCATCTGCACCACTAGCTTCGCCTTGTCTCCCTCTCCACCTTGCGCACACCAGCGGAACCGCTACCGCCTCCTCGTGGTCGCTGACGCAACCGTGCAGCCGCGGTGCGCCGCCGCATGGCTCGGCCGCAGGTGGCCAGCCTTCCTCCGCCATCCCCCACCTCAACCGTCACCTCGGCTAGGTCCACGGTCGTCTACTGATGCTCCCTTGCTAGCCAGTTAGGTTCTTAGGTGCTCTAAATCGCCAGGGCAGCTACGCCACCGTCGCGGACGGTCGCGCGTCGCTGCAGCTCGCTCCAGCGCATCCCGCCACCCCTCATCGCCGCTTAGCGTAGCCACCAAGATAGGAGATGGTGATCGACCCATTAGGTGGGCCAGTGCAGGTCCCAGGTGGCTGGCGTAGGCGCCCAGTGCTGCCGCTCACCGCGCCGCCGTGCACTGAATTGCCGGGGGTGCGCGCTGGGGAATTCCAGGAAAGCCAGGGGATTAAGTAAGAAGTTCTGAGAGAGGAGAAAATAGTGTTAGTACTTAATTGTAAATTGGGAGGAGTTCGAGGTCTCTTTTGCAAAATTACCAGCGCGCGAGATTCCCCTGCAGCGGGCCGTCTCGCGATGCAGGCTAGCCTCATGTGGGCCGCACCGTGGGTCGCCGCGCGCTCACGAGCGCGCGCTGTGTCGTGTGGGCCACGCGTGTGGGCCGCGCGGGAGAATTGTTTTTCTTTTTCATAAGGAATTAGAAATAGTTTTCTAATTTAAATTTTGAGCTGATCTTTGGTAAATCATATAAAATCATGTAGGTGTTCAAAAATTGCGAAACAAATTTTGTTAGGTTCCTAAAATTGTGCTCTATCTGTTAGTGTATTTTGTTCATATATATACATGTTGATATCAGGGGCTATTAAATCATTTGAGAGTGCTTAATATTATTAGATTAAATATTGTAGGAATTTTTGTGGTAAATTGGTGGTAGGTTTAGTCCTAACATTTTTATGGTACCTTTATTGTATTATTATGTGCTCACTGTAATTGTTGTAGCTTTAGAATAGATTAAGCATTAGGGTAGTTAAATGTTCTTTGTTTCAAATATGCATTAAATCGTTAGTAGAAATAAAGATATATCATTCATTTGTAAAGCTAGGTGTTGTTAGTTGAACCTAACACTTTGCTTGGTAAAGATGATAGTTAGCTTAGTACCTTAGTCATTAGAGCTAGCTTAGTAGCATAATATGCGTATTCTTAATTTAGGAGTAGATGTTGCCTAAATGCTAAGTGTTGCATCATCATCGCATGCATGTAGAGAACGAGTTAGCGGAGATCGTGACCACCGGCGATCATGAGTTCGAGGAGATCATCGAGGAGTACGAGGAGATTCTCGTGCAAGAGGAGGTCCCGGAGCCGCCACTGACTGACTCAGCTGACACCGCGCCTGCCCAAGGCAAGCCCCGATGCATAACCCCTTATTTTTGATAATCACTATTTTTATATGTTATGTGCATTTACGTTATAGGAATGTTATGAAAACCACATGCATAGATATACCTGTCTATGAGTCCTACTAGTACAGGTTCGAGTAACTGCTATACTTAGGTTTCGGTAGCGTAAGTAACATGCCGTTACTCACAATAGGTGATTATTATTACTCTCATAATAAAATGATGAAAGGAAAATGGAGACCAGACAGCGATATGGTATGGATATTGGTGGCTGTAACAGGTTATGTCCCACGGCCAACGGGGCTTAGCTTGGTTACACTGTTTTCTC